TGCACCAAGAGCTAAGAGAGAGGGAGAGGACTCGCCCACGGGGCGGGGTGGGAGGGGGCAGACATATACTCTGCTTTCCTCTCTGCTCACCCCGGGTCTGGCGGCTCTCCCCACCCTCTCACACACACCCCCATCCCCAATGACTGGTCCTCCCCAGAGTTCTGCTTTTCACTTGGTCTGTTGCAAGGGCAGCGTGCCAAAGATGGCCTCAGGGCACTCGCTAGGGGCATTATGCACAGCTACCCAGCTTCACCGTGTTTCATCATTTGAGATGACTCTTTTCCATGTTTCACCGTTTGTGATTATGCTTTCCCCCTTCTCACACAGAACAGAAGCAGCGTGGAGACTGGGAGGGGGTGGAGGATTAACATATGGTGCAAAGATACAGCTGTTGGCTCCATCATGTTCCATATTTGTCATTTGAGACCTGCAGATCTCCCCCAGTGTCCCCAAATGTCACACAAAGGTAACAGCTATGCCAGCTGGAAGAACTCAGTGAGGGCTAGTCAGTCAGGGCTAGGCTGTTATTTGGGAACCACACCCACTTTCAAGTTTTTCAAGCCTTCCTCCGGCCCATTCACATGGCAGAGGCAGTCAGCCAGGAAAGAGCTCCTGCTATTGCAGGTGAAATATATTAAAAATATATAGCTCTAAGTATTAACAACACACACACACACACACACACACACACACACACACACACACACACACAAAGCTAGAAGAGTAGAATGCTGATACAAGTTAAGTATAATGATGGAAATTTGGGTTTGTGTTCCTTCCACACTGTTGTATTAAAAACTTGTTTAATGTGAAACAGTGCTTGTGATACAGGACCGCTGTCTGGGTCTGGGCTGGTTCATGGAGTGACCACTAGGGGGTGCTACAGGGTAGCAGTTGGAGGAACAACAAGAGAAAGATTCCAGCTTGTCAGCAGGACCCTGGGAAGTGAGCCCAGGAGGGTCATGTTCATTACCACATCCCTAGAGGTTTGCAACCATGTTTTTCGGCAGGTCTGCTTGGCCTGCTGAGGAACGTGACCGGCTGCAGGGGCAGAGCTGTTAAGAGCGGGCAGGTGTGAGGTCATGTTGGCACCTGAGTGTGGCATCTCAGAATCCCTGGGCACCGGGTGAAGCTGTCAGAGCTGACAGTTTCCGCAGCCATTCTGCCAGGACCAGGAGTCCATCTGAGCTTCCATGCTGTTCCCAGCATTGAGACAAATTTTCAATACATCCTTCAAGACATATTCAGCATTTTCAGGAAACATTTACTATAACAATCGATTGGGCTAGATCAGGCAAAATGCTGTTTATGCATACAGTCGAGTCAGTATCTCTTATCCAAAATGCTTGGGGATGGAAATGGTTCTGATTTTTGTTTCTTTAGAATTTGGGATGTTTTTACAGTGTACATAATAAGTTATCTTGGAGATGGGATCCAAGTCTGAACATGGAGTTCATTTAAGTTCCTTATGCACTCTTGAAGCACAGGGTAGAGGTAATTTTATACAATATTTTAAAAGTGCAGCCCGTCTTAGGAGTTCCAGTGTAGAATGTCACACTTGTGCCCTGTCTGTCCTCAAACGGTTTGAGGTGTTGGAACAGTTCAGATTTCAAACCGGGGAAGCAGGACCAGGGAAGCACTACCTGTAAAATGACATCAAAGCAGCCAGCTGTGTTCACACATCTCATACACTCTAATCCTCTCCTGAGAGCAGAACCCCTGCGGTCGGTTTTGTAGATTTCCTTGCACTCACAGAAGATCATTCTCAAGGACTTCCACAAGGCACCTCTCCCCACTAACTCTCCACAAGCTAGCAATGACCTTACAGAGAAGTAGCACTTGCCATTCAGAAGCAGAGAGAGCCAAGACTCAGGACAAAGGACTGAAGCTTGCGGGACACACACACACACACACACACACACACACACACACACACACAGGATGAGCTGTGGAGGCCAACAATGACATCAGAAGACTCTGCCTGTTTGATCCTGACCATGCCCCCGGACCCCTTTTCTCCTGGCGTGTATCTAGAGGAAGAGGAGAGATCAGAAGGACAGAAAAGGCCACACATGTGACATGGATGGTGAAATCCCACGGGCTGTTTTAGTGGTCTGTCTGGAGTTGCCGGTTGTGATTTATAGAAAAGTCAATGAAAATCATGTCCACCGTTCATCTTGTTGACTGATATGTCAGACCTGGGCAGTCCCAGTGGTGTTGTTGGGGTCTGATGGCGACACCTACACGTCACCTGCTAGCCCTCCTGGGCTTCTAACTGTAGAGCCTTGTGTATGTATGGAGGGATACAGCTTGTGGTCAACGAGGAGGTTTTCTGGGGCAGAGAGCTGTAAGACTCTCTCAGTGGACCCTTAATTCTAGCCCAGTGGCTTCTTACTTGCTATGGTACCGTAAGGTTCAACTTGTAAAACACAAGACAAAATTTCAGAGGATCTCTCAGGGTCCTGGGATGTGTTTAGCCATATGAAATAATCATCAAGACTTTAGTGTGACCCTGAGGAGGCCACGTGAAAGGAGGAATCATAGGCAGGTAGCATCACAACGAAACCATGGTCACCCCAGCTCAGCAAACACCCTACTTCTTTTTCTACCAAAGACTTGACAGTCCGCAAAAAATCTGCATCGTACCAAAGACAAACTACGCACTCCCTGACTCATCAAAAATACATTTGTAACTTCTTCTATAATTCATGCAGGGGTGGACCGTAGACTTCTATAATTCGTGCAGGGGTGGACTGTAGATACTTGTCATACTTCGTTGACACTAATATGAACATCTGGAAAGATGGGAAATCTAAATTGGCCATTCATTGCTGGGGTGAAAGTTCTTAGCTGGTGAGGAGGCTGGGGATATTGGTAACAATGAATGTTTTGCGGCTATCTATGCATTATGTTGTCCCTTAAAACAACGGATCAGTAAGTGACTCTGTGCTGAAAGCTCAAGCAAAAGGAAAAAAGACTGAGGGGAAGGGGGCAGGCTGGGTTGATCCACTAGAGGGCAGGGAGGGGACAGAAGGGCAAAGAATTGCCCTAGAGTGCGGCTCAGATGCTTAAGGAAGAAGTCAGTGGGCGCTGTGCAACTAAACGTCCTGTTGCTTTGTCTCTAAATTAGCTAGAGTTTTAGGCACTTCACTCTCCTATTTGGGAAGTGTTGATACCATATATTACCACTTGCTACTTATATATGCCAGAGGACCCTCGTGTGGAGCTCCAAATGCTCACCCATCCTTAGGACTTGGGTGTGGCTGATCCTCTGAAACCTCCTACTGAAAAAGTGGGTGCTTGAGAAAGAATTCATATCTGTCTCATGGAAATAGATTAGCTCCTGGGAGAGCAGGTTGGCTCCAGACGTTTCAGTTGTTTGCCTCTTCCTTCCTTCCTGTGTGGTAGTTTGAATGACATTGGCCCCATAATCTCATAGGGAGTGGCACTATTAGGAGGTGTGGCTTTGTTGGAGTGGGATGGCCTTGTTGTAGGTAGTGTGTCACTGTGGGGGCAGGGTTTGAGGTTTCCTATGCTCAGGGTACCACCCAGTGTCTCAGTCGACCTTGTTCTTCAGTGTCAAGGTTGGGTGATAACATCTATTTCGGGTGGATTGGGGCTTAGTTCCTACTGTACCAATGTTTTGGGAGACCCCAGGTTGACTTCATATCATGCCCATAGCTACAGATCTGGTTCAAGTTCCCCAACAACTCCCCTCTGCTTCTTATCTGCATTACTTTACAAATAGAATGATCTGAAACTGTAATCAAGCCACCACAATGAAATGCTTTCTTTATGAGAGTTCCTGTGGCCATGGTGCCTCTTCATAGCAATAGAAACTCTAAGACACCCTGCTTGCTGACAGAGTTTCTGTCCCACACAGTCCCACAGCCCTTTAGTCCCAAATAAACACACAGAGGCTTATACCAATTATAAACTGTTTGGCCAATGGCTCAGGCTTCTTACTGGCTAGCTCCTTCTTAATTATTAGTCCATTTCTATTTATCTGTGTATCTCTATGTGGTATTGGCTTGCTGGTGATGCCTGGACCTCTTGCTTCCTCAGCAGCTACATGGCATCTCTCCAACTCCACTTACTATCTTTCTCTATCTCTGTTTGGATTTCCCACCTGGTTAAACCCTACATGTCCATTGGCTGAAACAGCCTTATTCATCGACCAATAAGAGAAACACATATTCACAGCATACAGAAGGACCTCCCCCATCACCTGCCCCCTCTCCCCTTCATACATGCTTGCCCTGCCCCCTCTCCTCGGCATGCCTGCTTGCCCTTCTGTTTTGCACTGTGAGGTGAAGCAGTCTGAGGCCCTCCCCAGAAGCCCAGCAGGTGCTAGAGCCATGCTCTCAGGTATTCAGCCTCTAGAACTGTGAGGCAAAATGAACTTTTTTTCCTAAATAAACTACCCATTCTTGGATGTTTTATTATAGCAACACCACCAACAAAAAATAGGGGTCATATTCAAATCTCTAAAATAAATGCTCATTTTCACCCTCAAACACATCTTTGTGACAAGAAATGGACATTCTGCATTTCTAGAGAAACAGTCTTCAGTGGAGATCCTTCTTCAGCCTGTGCTTTGGGCTAAGAGGAGCGTGTCCCTCAGGCCTGCCCAGTGCATTTCCCACCAGCAGCCAAGAGAGATGACCCTGAGGTTCTGTCTCCTTGTGGCCTCAGTCAAAACACCAGAATGAGCCCATGTCTTTTTGAAAACACAAAGAAGCACATATACTGCCTTTTTCAAACATTTCCTCTTTGAGCCCTTTGTATGTATCCTTTCTTTCTTTTTTTGCCCACTTTTCTCTTTTGTAATCAAGGTTGTTTAGTTTATTTAATGAGTTTTGGGCTCCTGGAATATTCTAGAATGCTGCAGGAGATTTCCATCCCCATACCCTAACAATCGCACACACTTCCAACGACTGTCACTTTAGCTCCAGCACCCAGGTAGGTAAGAACGTTAGAGTTCACGGCCACGGCCTCACCTTTCCAAAGAAATGCTGAGTAGACACAGCCAGGGCGTCGAAGCCATGGATGGCCCTCTTCAGCTCCTCTCGAGCCAGGCCCAGTTGCCTGGCCTGCCACTCACACTTGTCCCTTAGTCGCTGGGCCAGCTGTCGCTCTGCCTCGCGGGCCTGCAGGTCAGGCTTGGGTGTGATCCCATTTCGAGAAGCAGTGGTTCTCTGCTTTGGGTACCCTATGGAGACAGAAAACAGTCACTTGTGGTATCCATCCAACTGCAGCCTCTCACAGGAGCTCCCCAGACTCACAGGGCAAGGAAGGAGTTGCCCACGGTTTGACATTTCAAGTATTAAACAGATGAAACATGCCGGGATTCATATCATTTATTCTGTTTACTGGTTTTAAGTGTGAAGTTCATGCTTAGAAAACAGTAACAAACACACCACCAAATTTCTTTCAGCTTCCACCATTTCTTTAGGCCTATTTGTAGAGAATGAAGCAGGAAATCTATATGTATGTATGTATGTATGTATGTATGTATCTATCTATCTATCTATCTATCTATCTATCTTCTCTCCCTCCCTCCCTTCCTTCCTCCCTTCCTCCCTTTCTCCCTCCCTTCCTTCCTTTCTTTCTTGTTTCTTAAAGGGTACTTTTAATAAATTTATAAACTTATTATAAAAGCCTTGCAGATAAATAAAAGCATCAAACAGCAAAACCAGCCAGACCCACAGCCTGTACCACATAATGGACTTACAGTTAGAATTGGCATTCGAGAAAGAAGCTATGGGGCTTCACATTAAATTTCACACTGTCTGTATTCAATCTATTTTATGTACTTACTGCCCTTAGACAAATGACTACTGGGAAATCATTCCAGCATCAACTCAGGTAGAAGTCAGGATTCTGAGAATGCAGCGACTCCTTCCTTAGAACCAGCGAGTAATGCTGCAAGCCCCTCCTGCCCTGTACAAGGCCCCTCTAGTGACCTTGTCAAGGTTGGGTGATAACATCTATTCAGGGGTGGAGTGAGAGCTTAGTTCCTACTGTACCAATGTTTTGGGAGCCCCCCAGGTTGGCTTCATATCATGCCCATAGCTACAGATCGGGTCCAAGCTCCTCACCAACTCCCCCTGCTTTTTATCTTCGTTACATTACAAATTGAACCATCTTTCCAGTGATGAGACATGATTCATCATCTGCAGGAAAGCCATTCTCTGTTCCTATTGCAGTGTGAAGGAAGTTGTCACTCCCCACCCTACCTACAAAGCTCCCGTGAGGCAAATGTGAGGTGGTGTAGCTTGCAGAATGAACCAGAAGTTTGTCAGGACCCAAGGGCAGGGTTAGGGAGGGCCAGGAGGGGGGCATTTGAGGTTGAAGTTTGAGTAAGGTAAGACTCCAGGAAAGAGCTCATTGGAAAGGCCATCATGGCCAAGGACTCATGGCCACCATCCCTCCACTGAGGCACAGAGACATACTGTCTGCATAGGTAGCCAGAGAGCCTGCAGGTGCCCATGACTTGATATCTCACATTGTCTTCTGTGCTCAGGCAGAGATGTCCCTTTGTCACCTCGAGTTATTTGGGGGCTCTTTAATCTCAGCAGAAGAGGGACAAAATTTTATTTACTCTGCAACACATTGGAAAGTTAGGTCTAAGGCTGCAACAAGACACCTCTGTCCCATGGTTTCTCTTTGTCATCTTACCTCTGTGAAATGGCTGCCGACTTTATAAAACACATAATGCCCAGGCACTAGGTGTCTGGCACCTCTATCACAGAAAACATTCCCTCCAGAAATCAATGGAAACCGCAGTGAACAAGGCTGTTAGTAGTCTACAAGGTCAGCTCTGAGCCGCACCCCCCCCACTCACTCCGCCCTGTGAATGTATTTTATAGATTCATTTAATTTTTATTTCTGTATATACATGCATGTGCATATGTGAACATGTGTGCAAGCAAACACACAAAAATGAGCCTAGGAGCTGGAGTTCCAGGTAGGTGTGAGCCATCCAACATGGGTGCTGCTGAGATCTGAACTCGGGTCCTCAGCAAGAGTAGTATAGTCTCTTAGTTGCTGAGCCATCTCTCCAGCCCTTCTCCTATTTTTAACTGTCAGATTTCCCTGGCTGGAAAGGATCCCATGACCTACCCCCCCCCCCCCATACACACACTCTTTTTTTTTGAGACAGGGTTTCTCTGTGTAACAGCTTTGGCTGTCCTGGAACACATTCTGTAGACAAGGCTGGCCTTGAACTCATAAAGATCCACCTGTCCCTGCACACCTGGCACCCACATATATCTTTTAAATATTTATTTCATGTGTATGGCTGTTTTGCTTGCATGTATATATGTATATATGTGTACTACACTGTACAATGCTCATGCAGGCTAGATGGGGCATCCAATCCTCTGGAACTGAAGTTACAGATGGTTGTGAGCCACCATGTGTATCCTGGAGGTCCCATCCAGGTCCTCTGCAAGAGCAACAAGTGCTCTGAAGGGCTGAACCATCTTTCTAACCCCAGCACCTACAATAATAATAATAATAATTATTATTATTATTATTGGGGTTGCTATCGCTGTGATGAAACATCATGACCAAAAAGTAAGTTGTGGAGGAAGGGGTTTATTTGGCTTACACTCCTCTAACACAGTTCATCCTTGAAGGAAGTCAGGACAGGAACTCAAGGCAGGGACCTGGAGGCAGGAGCTGATGCAGAGGCCATGGAGGGGCGTTGCTTACTGGCTTGCTCCTCATGACTTGCTCAAGCCACCTTCTTACAGAACCCAGGGCCACCAGGCCAGAGATGGTACCACCTACCATGGACTGGGCCCTTCCCCATCAATCACTAATTAAGAAAATGTCTTACAGCTGTATCTTATGGAGGCATTCTCTCAAGTGAGGCTCCCTCTTTTCCAGTGACTCTAGCTTGTGTCAAGTTGGCATAAAACTAGCCGGCATTGTTATCATTAGGTTAAAAAAAAAGTTAATACTACCATTTCAAGTTACTTTTAAACTGGTACTATTACTACATTGTTTTTATCCATGGACTCAAATTCCCCATATTCAAGTGAATGCATGCAGTCAACTCACATTTCTCCTCTAGGGGTCACCCAGCAACTGACATCCTTGGCCATGTCAGAGGCTCCCCTGAGAACTTTAACTTTTAGAATCAACACAGTAAGCTTAACTACTTAACTACACTAAGTGACCCAGTGAAACAGCCCTTGTTTAGAACTCCTTGTTGTCTGTACCATAATTCTCAAACACTGTCCAGACCTGACCAAAGTCCAGTCCCCAGAGCTTCCCTGTCAGGAGGGAAGCCCTGAGAAATGAGGCTGGCTATGGAGTTCTCTGTTGCTTTCGCTGAAAAGGGTTTGTGATCATGAATCTCAGTGGTCACCATAGCTACACAAATTTACAGTCTTAACAATATGCAAGGGTCCTTACCTCTAAATTAGGAATGTTCAAAGAACTAAACAAGCACTGGCTAGTCATGACATACAGATAGCTGATTTTATATGCTTCTTGCTAGCATTTTTAAGGTCCCAAATACTTAATTCTTGTCATCAAATGTTGTCTCTGTATCTAGCATCCTGCAAGGTCCAGTGGGTGAACAAGGAATGAGGCTTATCCTTGGCCTTCAGTCAACCACTGTCCAAAGGGACCAATCCATGGAAGCATCCCAGGTCCTCTGGCTGCCCTCTGCCCCAGGGTGCTTCCCATTTCTTTATAGGTGGGGCTAGTCCGTGTCTCCAGCATGTCTCACAAAGTTAGCAGCTTGCCCTAAATATAGACTACATCCCAGGGTCCAAATGCTACCCCAGTCACAGTCTTTCAAGCTATCCCACCAGCTGCATGAATCAGATTAGGGCAGAAGGAATCTATGCTGACCGCAATGACATGTGACAGCTTAGCCCCGGGGGAAGCCAGTAACTGGACATCAACACAAAGGTGAATGTCAACAGCTGCTTGCGTGCAAAGGCTGAGGGTCCACCAGTTTGCGTGCAAAGGCTAAGCACTGGGGAGGACACGGCATTTGAAAATGGAAAACAAATATTAAAAATTCATTTGCAGCATCCGGCCACTACCCATAGATGGAACAGGGTGGTTTAATTCGATCTGGAAAGCTTATCAGATATAGCAACAGAGCTGTGCTGGCGTCTGCACATTGATAGTATGACAGAAGGCCATGACCTTCACACTTGTAAACAAGGTGGAAGCAAGGACCAGACACAGCTTTGATAGCTTCTCAGTTGAAGGGAAAGTCCTCCGTGAACTTGGTCACTGTTCTAGCAGAGCCATATTCCAAGGGCATGCGAGGAGTTCTATGTGGACTTGAGGATAGCTTTATTTTTATGAATTTAAACACAGTCAGAAGGTTTTGCAAGACAGAACTATTTTCTTATTTAGTGCTGGCAGTTGTTTACCAGGCATGGTCTAGTGTGCTGCTTTTTTTGTCATCTTGACCCAAACTAGAGTCACCCGGGGGCAAGGGAAGCTTGTTTGAGGAACTGTCTCCATCTGGTTGACCTGTGGGATATTTTACTGTCATTTTGCCTGAATTTAATGAATTATCCTTGAGCTCTGAGGAGGATCGAGGGGCTGGGGTTGAGTGCATAATCAATTATATGTATATGCTGAAGTTTCCAGGCATCCCTAAACTGTGGGGTCTAGAGAGTCTCTTGCCTGGTTAGACATAACTGTAGAGCATTCTCTAAAGCCACGGGGACAGATGTTATCACAGAGGGACTTTCTGGTTCCTATCCTAAAGACACTTCACCCGGATGCTCATCTGTGTCTGATCCCTTGTAACTCACTGGTAAGTGGGAGTAGGGGCTCCCCTGAAAGCCATGAATAGGCACAGTGGGCATTGGCAAGGAGGTGGGGGAACTATAACCCTGACACACTACTGCTGGGAATGCAAATGGAAAATTGCTGTAGGAAGCAATTTGGCACAATTTAAAGAAGTTACATGTAGTTGAATTTTTCTTTGGGCCAATCACTCACTCACTCTCACACACACACACACACACACACACACACAAGAAAACCCAAAACGTGGAGACTTATTAATTATATAAGCCTGACCTTAACTTAGGCTTATTCCTAACTAACTCTTATAACTTAAATGAACCCATATCTTTTAATCTACATTCTTTTATGTGTCTGGTTACCTTTTCTCTGTATTGCCAATCATGTTTCCTCTCTGTCTGTCTGGAGACCCCACCTTTTGCCCAGTGGTCTCTCCTTGCCTGGAAGTTCCACCTATCTCTCCTGCCTGGCTACTGGCCATTCAGCGTTTTATTACACCAATCACAGCAATACAGTGTACAAATATCCCACAACAGTTAAGCTTATCATTACTGCATAAAACAAACATCCAGTGTCCTAGTTAGGGTTTCTACTGCTGTGAAGAGACACCAGGACCACAGCAACTTTTAGAAAGGAAAATATTTGAGTATCTTATAGCTTCAGAGGTTTAGTCCATTATCCTCATGGAGGAACATGGCTGCACACAGGCAGACACAGTGCCAGAGAAGGAGCAGAGAGTTCTACATCTTGATCCATAGGCAGCAGAAAGTGAAGACTGTCACACTGGGCATGGCTTGAGCATATGACACCTCAAAGCCTGCCCCCACAGTGACACACTTCCTCCAACAAGGCCACACCTCCTGTAGTTCTACCCTTATAGGCTCATGTATTGAAACTCAGTCTACTGCTGCTGATGATGTTGGGCAGGTTTAGAAGGTGTGGCCTCGCTGGAGGTCGTCATCACTGGGGGTTAGCTTGGGGTTTTAAAACCTCCCACCATTCCCCGTGACTCTTCTCCAAGTTTCCTGCTTACAGTAGGGGTTGTGAGCTCCTGGCTTACTGCTGAGGTCACCAAGCTGGCTGCTTGCTGACCCACAATGACAGGCATTGGAACTTTAAGCCCTAATAAACTCCTTCTTCTAGAAATTGGCTTGGTCACCACCAAGTCCTTGCACAGCCTCCAAGGATTTGGACCTGACTGGGGTGGCAAGGAAATGAAGAACAGACAGAAAGATGAATACACAGACAAAGAGTTGGGATTAGATGGTCTGGGTTCGTGGTTGGAGAAACCTAAGTATCCTGGAAGCTCACTGAGTTTATTATATAGAGAGGCAGGGTTACTGCACCATCTGAACAAGGAGGCAGGGTTAGCTAACTCTAGCAAGGGCAGTCTCAGTAGGGGAGCAGTCCTCAGGCTGTGAACATAGGGGGAGAAAACATGGTGGCTACTTTTTTTTGCACACACTGTCTGCCTCTGAGACTGAGGCACCGGGTCCTTGATATGTATGCTGTGCTCATGTCAACAGTGCGCAGTCTCACGGGACTTCACACACTCAGGGCTTCTTCCGCTGCCTACAATCCATGCTGTTCTATCACAGCAACAGAAAAGTAGCTAGCACATTGGGGTATGCACCAATGTGGAGGAAGCAGTTATTAAAGAAGACAGTAAAACTGCAACGTATTCCATGCTTCCACGTACATGAAACTTTAGAAAACTACTGTAACTGAATAGACCAGAGATGGTTGGGATTGGGGTTGTGGTGGGTTGGGAGAAGATGGGTGTGTGTTCACTTCATTGAAAGGTGGTAGCCTCATGGGTAAGTGCACCTGTCAAAACTGACCAAGATGTACACTTTACATATAGGTGATTTAGCATGCATTAGCTATTAATTGTTTGGCATTTCATTGATATACATATTTCCATATTTCAACTTTTAAAACATTCATTTTAGGCATGGATTGGAAACAATTCAAAGCTAGATATCATTACATACAACTTCTGTTCTTTCTTCCTTTTATGAAGCACCACTTGAGGTCTAACTTCAAAGTGTCATTTTTCCCCCAACTGAATTATTTTTACGCATTCTCATAAGAGCACATATTCCTTTGCAAAGACATTCTCCCACATGTATGCAGCGTAACTCTTATTTTTATGAGCAAAACCTGTTCCTCTGGTGTGGAATGAGGAAAACCCAGCCTGACACATTGACAGCCATCTGAGGAACTCAGTGGCAATCTCAAACCTCTAGAAACAGCCCCAGCCACACGTGTAAGTACCTGGTGAGTGAAGCTTGGTGGAGGAGGCGGCTGTTCTCTTGGGAGACGACACAGCAGGCTTGTTAGCATCTGCGTCTTTCTGTGCTTCTTTCTTCGTTCCTACACAGTTTGTAAAGAGGAACAGAAAGGGGAAGGGATGGTTATGTGACGCACCATAACACAAATTGCTGTGGAAAAGGCAGCTCAATAAAAGGCAAACAGAACAACAGGAAAATCACTGGATGATTTGTTATTTATAACAGAGGTAATTTAGTCCTAAGTGTCACCTGAAATGTGCCCACTTATCTCTGGTTTGATGAGAACACCTCTGACTCTGGTGGGCCCACTACCCAGTGACCTCACAAAACTTCAAGGAATTGAATTGTCATTGTATTTAGGCATCAACTTGGCCTACTGAGTCCAGGGAGGGATGGAGTAGACAGAAATACCTGCTGAGCCACAGGGGACCTCATCTGGCTCTAATTCATTTCCAGAAGTGACTGAGAGATCACTAAGCCCCCAACAGTTGCAGCTGAACCATCCTGGAATTATTCCAGCTGTACCAGCAGGAAGGATAACTGGCATGGGTGTGACCGAGGGGCACATGCAGGTGCCCTCAGGAGATGACTTGGGTAGGAGTGCCTTCTCTCTGCAAGCTGAAGTCTGCTCATGCTCAGTGTTGCTGGGTAGACTGCCATTGTCCACTACATCACTCATTCGTGCTCCCATGGGACCGTGTGTGCAAGTCACTTTCTCCAGGCCCATGCCTTGATGGCGTAGACATGCAATTACTGACAGACACCAAAGGTCCTTATGCTTTGCAGATTCTCCTTCTTCAAACATTACAATACCATCTTTCATTGCCCATAGATTTATGTTTTAACATGTCCAAATATATCTACTCCCCCACCCCTTTCCAGCTCTGAAGTCTTGAGAGCCATAGTAAAGGTTTGTATGTGTATGTATACACACACACTGAAGGTCTACTGAGGCTGCAGGGGGCTGTGATTTGGAGGCCTTAAGAGCCCACCCACCATCCCCTCTCCTGAAATCACAGGCAACAAACACAGGGCTAACCTCATCCTTCTGTCCCTGCCCTCTGCTTTTATTCTAGATCAACGAATAGGAAAAGAGGCTCCTGGGAATTAAGCAGGGAAACAGTAGCTGCCTCCAAAGTTACCTAATGTGTTTCCTGCTTTACAGTCAAGCTATTCGTGAATATTTAGTTAGCCTGAACAACGTTTTCCATTCTGCTCTCATGAAGCACAGTCTATGGCACCAACTGGAAATTTAATGACTGATAATCTTGACTCTGAAATTCTACTCCTACAAATCTCACTGTGGAGCACTTCTCCAGACATTCCAAAAATATGCTCAAAGACAGTACATAATTTACATAAAATATGTGAACATAAACAAAATTCACATTGAAGACCACCTAAATAAAGTGTGATATATATTCAAGCCATGGGGCACCATGCTGTCATTAAAAAGAATGAATTGTCTCCAAATTGTACTGACATGAAAGGATGTCCACAGTAAATGGAAATGTTAGTTGTTGAATAGGATTCAAGGTATTGTCTCATGTTAGCACACAAAATAACACGTGTGTATTAGGTAACTGGACGTTGAGTAGCGTTGAGTTCTAAGCAGCAGGATTGATGGATTGACTATTTATTTTTGATAAGTTTGCACTGTTCCCATTTCAAGGCAATAGTAAAATGAGAGAGATCAGCCTCAAGTCTATGTGGTGTGTGGAACGACAGGAGGGCCTGGTGGTCTGGGCTCAACCTGTCCCAGGTCTGCCTGGCGTGCCTAACTGTCCTTGTGGTTGGCTCTCTCTTCTCCCCTCCTAGACCTCTGTTTCCCATTGCCTCTATAACAAACGACCTTCCCCAGGCCTCGCTCGGTAGAGTGACTTGGGTGGAACATTCCCTCTGTGTTGTGGTTTGAGTTGAAGTGGCCCCCAGAGGCTCGAGGGACCTGGACACTAGATCTTTAGCTGGTGTCCTGTTTTGGAAGGTTCTGTCACCTTTAGGAGGCAGAACCGGGCTGGGGGAGGCTGGCAACTAAGGGTGGACCTTACAGGTTCCAGCTTGGACCTCATGCTGGTCCCAGCTTTTGCCTCTTCCTATGTGAGGCTCGTGTGTTCCAGGTTTCCGGCTTCCTGTTTTGTGGCCAGCTTCTCTACTTTGGCAGAACACTAATTTTTTTTTCTGTTTTAATTTGCACTGTTCAAAATTTCTTCCAGTCAAACATTTGCTTTAATTTAAAATTTTAATGTGGTACTCACTTGACCCTGAGATACAAAGGGATTTCTCTTTTGGCTTCCGGGGCTGCTAACAACAGCCTGATGCTATGATAAATCTTAACCATTTGTGGGTGATCCATTTTACTCTCTTTCAAAACTCTTAGTACCTCTTATTCTCACACTAGTGTGATCTTTTTAAAAATCCATTATGCAGAGATATCTGATAGACTGGTAGACCACTTTAGCCCACATCCCATGGTTCTTGATACGTGGTTTGTTTTCCTCTGACTTCTCATTTTATGGATGTCCTACTATTTGAGTTCTATCCTGTAGATTATGTCTTACTTTAGACAACGTCCATGTGCTCAGTCACATTCAATATGGCCTAGTTAAGGTCTCTCACTTAATCCTTCTCCCTCTTTCCTCCCCAGCTTAGTGGGTGTTCCCTTTGCCTCCACCAGAGACACCAAGCCTGGCTCGCCCCCTCCTTCCTCATTTCTTCACACTCAGTAGAACACCATCCCCGAGATATACACATTTTCTATCTTTCTGCAGCTAGTCCACCCCCCCCCCCCGCCCTCCAATTCACGGTAATTTCCAAACTCAGACTACAGCAGCCTCTCTGTGTGTCTCTGGCTGAATCCTGCTTCAGACCCCATCATAGGGGACTCCAGGTGCTCCCGCCAATCTCTGGTCCTCTCCCACATTGCACGACAGTTGAGGACCTTGCTTACCCACCCATAGGTCCCAGTAGACAATACGTTCCATGGGAATCACCTACTCACCAAATATTTATAACTAAAATGAGTTGGCTATCTTTGCTAGATAACCACGTTTCCTTTCTCTGAGGAAAATAAAATCAACCTTGAGATGGGGTGAATTCCTGGCTTTTGGAGACCTCCTTGAGCTAGTTAGTGTTTTGTCAACTTGATATACACGAGAGTCATTAGGAAGTGGGAACCCATGTTGAGAAAATGTCTCCATCAGATTAACCTGTGGGCAAGCCTGCGGTACATTTTCTCTTGATGATTGATATGAGCAGAGCCACCCCAGGCAGGTGGTCCTGGAATCTATAAGAAAGCAGGCTGAGAGAGCCATGGGGAGCAAGACAGTAAGCATTTGTCTATGGCCCTTGCTTCAGTTCCAGCCTCCAGGGTCCTGCCCTGACTTCCCACAGTGACAGTGTGTGACCTGCAGGCTGCATTAAATCTTTGCTCCCCAGCTACTTTTGGTCATGGAGTTTTATCACAGCAGTAGAAGCCTGAGACACTATCTTTATTCTCTCCTTCTCATTCCCTCTCCATCGCCTCTCCCCACTTCATAATGAACAGGTCTTTTCTGAGTGGGTGTTGAGAAATCATTGCACACTCTCAAACCAAATGAGCAAGTCTCTGAGGAGCATGGGTTTGTGGGAGGAAAACACACCAGATCTCCTGGGGATTCCAGACACTGCCTGTTCTATTAAATCCGAGAAAATGTGTGTAAGTGAGCAATGGCGGGAAAATTACTCACATTTTGGACACTAAATACAAATAGTCACTAGGGCTTTACTCCTTGGGACTGGTTTTAGTGAGGCAAGCCCAGGGTTTATCTGGTTATTTGCCTCATTTTACTCGGTAATTTAACTTTGACATGAGCTCAAGAGCATAAGAAAATAAATGCTTTGGGGCACATGTGTTTTCCCTCTCCAGGGGAAGAACCCCCTCATGGCCAACTTAGAGTGAATTAAGGATGCCTGTAGTCATTTACTGAGGTGTTGCTGCAATGGCTGTCTAGTTCCTGCCCTCAGAAAGATCCCCACATGGCTTCAGCCATTGTCCATCACATGATTCATCAGGCTGCTCCCGTATACCTGAGGTGGGGTCAGCGTCCCAAGTTAAGAGACCCAGTGAGACAATGGCAAGATAACAGAGCAAGCGTCAGCCTGGAGATGTGGGCGGAGGTTTCTCTCTGGGAAAGAGAAGAGCCAGAGGGAGATTCACTGGGAAGGTAACGCTTGAGCTGGGCTGTAAGGAGGACAGGAGACGAGCAAAGAAAGCCTGAGCCAGAGACTGAACGTTTGTGTATGTATGCCACAGTCTGCAGTCAAAGACAGAGTGTGCAGGGAGGGGACGGGAGGGCTTGTCTGTGCATCCAGCCTGAGTCGTCTCAGATGATGCTCAGGGTCACTGGACCAAAGGAAATACCCTTCCTCTGTTTCCTTTAAACGAAGTTGAACCTCCTCCATGAAAATCCAGTCTCAGGCAAAACAGGGCTGCTTTATAAAACAGTAATTGTTCAATACCGTACCTTTTAGTAAATGGGAAACCATGATTGATGCTAATGGATGAGATAATGATAAATGAAAACCAGAGAGTCAACAGGAAGCTAAACTGTTCTTTGTCCCCTGATGTTTTTTATTTAAACTGAGTTAACTATCGAAGATTACAGATCAAGCCTCAGCCACCCAAATAGCACACACATTAAATAAACCCTCACATCTTCCCTAAATCATCACAGACCATAGGAGAACAGGAAAAAATACACTTTTTCTTCATCTTTGTTACAACCTCTCTAGGCATAACTACAACGAGTTCACTGGATGGCATTATGGACCTATATTGATTTTCTTAATAAAATACAAATTATTTGAAACACTATGATACTGACTTGTGAATAAACAGTCAGAACCCATAGAACTGCTGTCCAGGCGAAGGAGTGGTCACCCGAATGCTCCCAACAGCCAGGAGCAGCAGACCTGTCTCCTTCTTCCCTAATTAGGGCAAGACGGTTTTGCCATGTGTTCCTTTGTTTTAGGTTTTATTGCTCTCATATACCATATCATTGAGTTTAGGAAGGTTAGACCAGTGAAGTCCCACTGCACAGCCTG